TGAGGGCTTGATCCAGGAATGCTGCGGTCCCATGAGGAGCTCTGGGTGGTCAAGATACCTGCAAGCACATGTAAAAGGTCTTTTAGAAAAAGAACAACTTTGCAAAGTGAAGTTCAGTTCACACAGTTGATTCCTGTTACTTATGGTGGTTGCGTTCTGGAGAGTCACCGTGAAAGCTGAGTTAGTGAATATGAGCCATGGGTCCTAGTTCCCAAGGGCCTCTGGTCACATTTCCATCAACCAACGAACACATAACCTTGGTGCTTGCTGTGTTTGTTTTGGTGCTGGGGATGGAACCCAGGGCCTTGTGTAAGCTGAGCACACACTCTGCCACTGACCTACATCCTTCGCCCCAAACCTGGCTTTACATGTGCTGCTGCTGGAAGACACCTTGCTTGACAACTATGTGCTGCGTGATTAACACTGAACTATGGCCATTGGCACCCTAACTCATGACTGTTTTAGACAGAGAAATCATCGACAGCAGAAAAACATATCATGGAATAGACAGTACAAAGAATTCTTTATGGGGCTGAGGTTGTGGCTCAGTGGTAAAGCACTTATAAGGCCCTGGGTTCGATCCTCAGCACCACATAAAAATAAAGGTATTGTGTCCATCTACAACTAAAAAATAAATATTAAAAAAAAGGACAATTATGTAGTATAAAAGCCAAAAACAGGAGGCAGAATGTTGCCTGGTTTCATTCTCAATGGAGAATGTGTGTGTTGGGTGACAAGTTTTTCTCCACTCTGTGTGTGACCACAAATGACCAAAAAAGCACCGTAAGAATTGATTTTGTGGGCTGGAGGTGTGGCTCAGTGATAGAGTGCTTCCCTGGCATGTATGAGGCACTGGGTTCGATTCTGAGCACCACATATAAATAAACAAATTAAATAAAGGTCCATTGACAACTTATATATACATGCAAAAAAAAAGAATTGGTTTTATGATTACAAATACCTTTAATGAGTGGGGAATTCACAAATATAGAATCTGGATAAATGAGGATGGACTGCACACACACAGCATAAATACATGTGTTCACACACACACACACACACATACGTGACCCTTCTTGATCACTGAGGAAAAATGGAAATTCATCCAGTGTGCCTTTGCCCTCTCCTCAAAGCACCAGCCTCAATATTTCTTCTCTGGCTCAGAGTGTCAGATTGCTTCCTCAACATCCACCCAGTCACTGGCCACTGTCCCTGTCTTTGCTGACCCCTGCCCAGCAGTCCTCAAGCCCCAAATTTCTGCTTTCCAATTTTCTCTGCCCCATTCTCATCTGTCCAACAGCTCTGGGCCCAGCTCAGGCCTCCTCCCTGGGCTCCAGGGATCCCCCACAGGAGCCCAGGGTCTTTCTATGACCAGAACCAACCCTGCCCCTCCCTGTTCACAGCTCTCCTGTGGCTCCCCAGTGCCCAGGGGATAAAGACCAGGCACATGAAGCCACCCAGAGGCACCTCTGGCCTCTTTTCCCCTCTCCTTCCTCTCATTTATGCTGCAGCTGCACTGAATTAACCCTGGTCCTTACTAGGGCATGCAGCCACACACGACTTTGGCCTCTGCTACCAGGGATGGCCTTTCTCAACCCTAACCCCAAGCGCCAAGTAGGAGGTGGCTCTTCTCCCTTCAGGATGCAGCTCAAGAGCTTAGTCTCCTGGGAAGCCTTCCTTGATTCTTCCAGATAGAGGAACTCAATCCCCTCTAGAAGCCTGAGTACCACGCGTCGGTCACTGCCACCTATGGCAGCCATCCATACACCATATGGGGAGGGTGGGTACCCCATCCCAGCAGCCTCAGGACACAGTGAATGGATAAAGAAGTGAATGAGAAAGCTATGGCACAAAACAGATGTGCCAATAGCAGAGGAGTAAGCCACTGTCTGCTTCTATGGAACCCCATAACCATCTAGGAATAGGGACCAATCTGATGTCCAGCAAGGGCCTTGCACAGCCTGTGGGAATCTAAGTCTATACCCTTTTTCATTAGTTCATTCCCTCATGTATTTTTTTTTTAATTTTTTGGTTGTAGTTGGACACAATACCTCTATTTTGTTTTTTTATTTTTATGTGGTGCTGAGGATCAAACCCAGGGCCCCGCCGCACGTGTGAGGTGAGCGCTCTACTGCTGAGCCACAACCCCAGCCCCTCCCTCATGTATTTTAAAAACGAATACATATCTGTTAACGACTGGAAAAAGGCCAGAGGTAAAACGTCCTAGAGGTCAGAAAAATGTGTAAGTTGCAACATGGTCCCCTAGTGGTCCTTTAGGTTACAGCACCCAGTCACCAAGAAGCTGAGCTGGGAGTGGGCAGGGCTTTTGGACGCATCAAGATCAGCCCTGTTCTGAACTGATGCCCTCTGTGGTCCTGGACAGCAGCCGGGGCTCTGGGAGTAGTTTCCCATGTTGATACCATGGACATTAAAGTGACTGCTATGACCTATTTTATGTGCTCTACACCTGTTGAGGAGGGCAAACCTTTTCTGTAAAGCATATCACATCCACCTCAAGTCTCTGTAGGGCTGGAGATGTAGCTCAGTGGTACAATGCTTGCCTAGCGTGTCGGAGGCCCTGGGAATCAAACCCAGCACCACAAAAAATAACATAAATAAAATAGTCTGGTAAGGGAGAATGTGGGAGGGGTTGTGAAAATAGTGACATGAGTATCCTCAGGAGTCAGGGGATGTGGAGGGAGAAGATTCAACCCACAAGTATCTCAGTGTGGTTTCCCCAATGGCAGGAAGGAAGCTGGAGGCATCCTGATCCACTTCATAACGTTGATCACATACTTGTCAGTGCTGGGCCTGGCACTCAGCTCTTCCCTCAGAACAACACTTCAGGTCATCAAAGGTGACTAAGTAAAGGCACCTGGACTCAAATACAAGCCATTCAGCTCCAGAGATGACCCCTCTCACCTCAGTGCCATTTCCCAAGTGTGAAAGGCTTATCCCAAGCAGATTGGGGGTGTCCTGGCACATGGATACCCCAGGAAACAGGGACTGATGAACGAGTAACCAAGTAACTGGAAGGAATTCAAATACATGCTGCTCTGTCCACCTAAAAATCCTGCCTGGGGCAGCGCCTGCTTCCTCTGCTTCCTGCTGTGTGCTTCCTCCCAGTCCCTGTCACCCCCAGCCCGCCCCTACTGGACGGCGGCTGCCAGGTCAGTCTGACCTGTGTCCACACTGAAGCGGGGCTGGCTCACACAGTCACATGTTAGTCATTCACTCCACTACTATTTCTTGCACACCCACAATGCACGTTCTGATGAGAGGAAGGTGTGCACATGCTGGAGGGGATGGGGTTCTCCACCACCCTGAGGGGAGGCAGTCGTGAACCGTGCTTATGCTGCTCTGAGATGCCCTGTGAGCGTAGCTCAGCTAGGTCCTTAAACCAGGCATCAGAAGCTGGCACAGGGTGCTTCGCAAGCTCCAGGCACACACGTCCACTCTGTGCTACAAATCCCGTGACTCATGGTTTCACTGGCTTCATTCAAAGGAACATGTCTCACTGCCTTGGGTAGAAAACCAGTGCCATCTGCGGGGACTAGAAACCAAATATAAAAGTAAGTTGCAAAACAGGGCAATCGACTCTTGCTCCAGTGGCTTCCAAAACAGAGGTGCCTGGTAACTTGGAGCTGAAGGCCCACCCATTACCCCTTTCTACAGAGATGTTTGGGGCAAGTGCCAAAGTGAGACGTCCTTCTTGCCACTATTTAAAGCCTCACTGGCCCTTAGGAATGATTCACTTGTTACCATTACTGAAACCCACCCTGGACATTCAGTCACACCCTGTTTTGCTGGTGGACACTCAGGAGTCTGACCCCTGACATGTCGTAAGCTTTGCCTCTCAGCTCTTTACTGTCGGTCCCCACAGTAAGATGTGAGCTCCCTGAGGGCAGGACTTTTGTCTTTCCTCAGTATCTCCAGGGCCTGGAGCAGAGGCTGGCATAGCAGAGGTGTCTGCTATCTGCTGAGTGAAGGAAGGCTGTGCCCAGACACCCCCAATCCACTCAAGCATCCCACACTTGGGAAATGACACTGAGGTGAGAGGGGCCATCTCTGGAGCTGAATGGCTTGTATTTGAGTCCAAGGGTTTTTACTTAATCGCCTTGTGATGACCTGGAGTGTTGTTCTGAGGGAAGAGCTGAGTGCCAGGCCCAGCATAGACAAGTATGTAATAAATGTCAACCATGCCTAGGTCACAGCTGTGAGCAGGCCAAATACTAAGCATGTGCAAGGAGGAGACGTGATGTAGTGGGAAGCAGGAACAGACCCTGGAGGAGGATGAAATTCAGGGTTTCGTACCATTTATGCCAAGCAAACACATCCAGCAACTTCACATAGTGTCAGGGACAGGCAAACCAGCTTAGAAGTACTCAGAAGTAGTGAAGTGGCAGCACAGCTAAAGTTTAAAAACAACACTGAGTGACAGAAAGCAGGAAAGAGAGGGACTGAGAACGTACAGCAGCTCCCCCTTATCGGTGGTTTTGCCTTCTGTGGTTTAATTTGTGGTCTATAAGAAGAAAGACAGATTAAGACCAATAAGATATCCAGCAGGGGGCATGCCACAACCGTGGAAGTTTTATTACAGTATTGTTACAACTTGTTACAAGTTATTGTTATTAATTCCAAATGACAATTAATCAATTAGACTTTATCATAGGCAATGCACATATATATTGTACAGAATGTATAGCACCTGGTACAATCTGCTGTTGTAGGCACCCGCTGGAAAGAGGATAAGAGGCTACCATAATATCATTTACACACATGAAACACACAGGACAACCCTGTATCATTCAAGGACACAGATAATCTACATAAAGAAGTAGGAGTCAGAAATAGAGAACTCAGTGAGGTGCAATGATGTGAAGCTGAGACCTCCGTGAGAGGAGTCAGAAACAGATGTAATTCAGAGCAGAGCACCACTCACGCAGATCACACAGCAGGGCCACCGTACAATTTTAAGGATCCAAATACACCTAAGTAAACACATCAACAGAACATACATCAAGTGTGTCCGAATGGCTACCCACAGTAAGGAGACAGGAAATGTAAAAGGGGTAAAGTAAAATGAGAGCAAGGCTTGACACACACCAGGGACCCAGTGTGTAAGAACCAGAAACTGCCACCATGTGCTCACTGGACAGCTCGTCCTCTTCCTGCCGAGTGGGCTTTCCCAGATAACCTCATCTTCTGCTGGGGCTCTGGCAGACATTTCCCAAGAGCCCCAGGTCTGTATTTCCACTTTGACTTCCCTCCTGCACTTCAGACGGGCACAGCAGCTGCCTCCCAGGCAGCCTGTTGGATGCCTCCTTGGCAAGGGTCACCCTCCCAGTCTACACCAGATCCTGAATCCAATCTTGGGACCTCAGGGCTTCCCTGCAGCCAGCTCCCCATCGTCCTTGGTACTGAGCCACACACTGCAGCAGTCTTCCCAGTCCACCTTCCTGCTGCCCTTGGTGCTGACCCTGTACCCCGGAGGGCAGCTCTTCCCCTGGGTCCCGCTGCACATAACACTTCTCCCAAGCCCAACATTTCTCCTGTCCTTGGTGCTGAATGTCTGAAGTACAACTGGCAAGACCTGAGGTTTTGTAAGCAGAGGAGAGGGAGGCATTGACGCTGGTGGCATGGACCCTGGGTGGCTGGTGCTGGATGCTGAGCCAGGGCCTGGGCCCACCTGCTCAGGTTCCCAGCGTGCCTGTGAAATTGAAAAAGTCATGATGTCCTGCACATGATGGGCACTAAGTGCTATGTGTGCCTGACTCCCCCAAGTCCTTCCACAGCCCTGTGACGCAGGTGCTTAGTGCATGGTCTCTCCTGGAGCAGAGAGCACCAAGGCCTCTGGGAGGCCAATTGCTCGTCCAATGCCCCACAATGGTGGGACCAGAATCCAACCCCAGGGCTCCAGGGTTCCTGCTCTCTCACCTGCTGCAATGGACAGCATAGCACCTGTCTGAGAGCGCAGAGGCCTTGGGCTCTCTGAGACACTGCTGCCCCTTCCTTCCTGCTCCCTGTTGTGACCTAAGGTCCTCCTCTACCTGGAGGGGTCCCGGGCCAGTGCTGGGTTTTGCTGAGCCCTAGACTCACTTCTGTTTCTGCTTCATGATAGCCTCGGTGTTGGGAAGGCAGTTTGTCCATGGCAGGAGTCCGTAGAGCCACTTCAGCATACAGTACCCCAGGGACTGGAGGTCACTGCGGCGGGAGGGCCCTGGGAAGGGAAGGGAAGAGGCAGCAGCTGAGCCTAGATGTTCCACTCTCTGACGTGTCTGTCCCCTTTCTGTCTCTCCCACCCAACCATGAACCCCTGCTCACCATGTAGCCAGGCATCTTATGCCACCCATCTGTTCACCACCACCCCCATTCAACCATCCCTTCTCCCCTCAGCAGCCCACACCTATCAGTCATGCACTCACTCAGCAGATCCCCAGCACCCATGGGCCAGGCCCTATCTCATGACCTCAATATCCAGCCCTGAACAGTCTCATGGGAAAGAATTACAGGGTGGAGTTGCCACAAGGAGATGGAACAGGAATAAAGGAGCCCTGGAGCGTGGGTACTGAATCTATCCTTAGTAGGAAAAAGAGTAAAGGAGACTGGGATTTTATTTTCTGTATACCTCCCAAATCACATTATTTTGGGAATTCTTTGAGAAAGCATTGGGCAACATCAAGGCTGAATGAGCCAATTGCCAGCTGATGTTGGAGGCAGAGGTGCCATCCCTACCCCAGGGCAGCTCAGTCTGGGAGGATGTGGGCAGGTACTTGGATGGCTTTGAGAGAGAGAGGCTCAGGAGTCTGCCCTGGGCCATCTTCCCACTCTGCACACTGGATAATCATACTTTCCCAAAGCTTTAGCTGATAACCCCTGGGGCACTGCAGAAGTCTGGGCCTCTGCCAAGACGCCACTCCCACGCTGGGGCATGGACAGCCAACCGCCTCCTCCACTGCAGCTCTCATCTTCCAAGTCTATATCATATCCCTCTGGAACTCAGGGATTCTCTGGTATTAAGGATTGAATCCAGAGGTTCAATTGAACTTCACCTCTAAGCTATGTCCCCAGCCCTTTTCTATTTATTTTGAGACAAGGTCTCACTAAGTTGCTTAGGGCCTGCTAAGTTGCTAAGGTTGGCATTGAATTTGTGATCTCCCAGCCTCAGCCTCCTGAGTCGCTGAGATTACAGGTGTGTGCTACTGTGCCCAGCTACTGCCATTCCCGGTGCTGAATTCTACATCCCTCCACTGCCTAGTGTCAGCCTCTTGTGTGCTTTGTGCTGAACTGTGGCCTCACAGCTCCTGAGGCCAGGACAATCCATGGTTCCAAGTCCCCATTAAGGTGCCCTTACACCTCTTCTGTGCCTGGCTGTCTGCTATCTGTAGTTGTGAGCCCTAGAACTCCCTTGTGTGAGAGCACGTTTCATGGTTCTGAGTCCCTTCTCTGCCCTCTTACCGCATCCCTTATGTAGGTCCATGCTGATGAACTCAAGGTCCCCATCATGTGGGCTCCTGCTGCCTTCTGAGTAGGCCACGTGTTTGCCACTTGGGCAGTAGCGGAAGGCAAAGCCGTAGCCCACCAGAGTCACCTGTGGACATGGAGAAAGCCATACAAATTGAAGATTAAGAGCACAAATTCTGGAGTCAGAGATTCTACTTGTGGGTGTAATTTGAAATAAACAATTCCTTTTTTTTTTTTTAATTTTTTTTTGTTAGTTGTTGATGGACCTTTGTTTTTATTTCTTTATATGCAGTGCGTCTCACACATGCCTAGGCAAACACTCTACCGTTGAGCTACAATTCCCGCCCATCCTATTCCATTATAATAAAATTATAATAATAATTTTATTAGTTGTTGATGGATCTTTATCTTATTTATTTACATTCGGTGCTGAGAATTGAACCCAGTGCCTCACACCTGCTAGGCAAGAGCTCAACCCTACCACTGAGCCACAACCCCAGTCCAACCTATTCTGTATAGATGTTAGGTTAACTTCTAGACTTCTAAAACTAAGCCATGCTTGTAGCAAAAATGCCAAACAGCCTGGGAAGGCATGAAATGAAAAGATCCAAAACCAACATCTATTTCCCCAGGCCTGGAAACCCACTGCCCAGAACAAAACTACTACTAGTAAGAGTTTTTTAGGCATTATTCCAAATGGCTTCTTTTAAATAACCAGGTTAGAAAACATGGGCAGGGAGGGGCTCTTGCTTCTGCATGGGTAACACCTTCTGTCGGGTGCCCAGGTTTCAGCACTTTAGCAGTGGTCAGGACACCGACTCAAAGCCTAAGGGTCTGGTTTAAGATGTCAGCTTAGCCCTTTGGTGCAACCTGGGCAAGTTATGAAACTTCTCTGTGTTTTGATTTCTCCATTTGCAAAATGCTGATAACACAGTCCCTTCCTCAAAGGGCTACAGTGAATTCAGCTTAACTGAATTTAAAATAAAAGTAAGATGTTTATCTGTGAAATACACAAAGTTGACCACATATTTTTTTACTGGCTGCTTCTTTTTGTTAAAATATTTTTTGGTTGTAGTTGGACACAATACCATTATTTTTATTTATTTATTTTTATGTGGTGCTGAGGATTGAACCCAGGGCCTCGCATATGCTAGGTGAGCGCTCTACTGCTGAGCCACAACCCCAGCCCATACTGGCTGCTTCTTATTGTACCATATGGAAAGTGGGTAACTTGGGTTGGTCTGTGCAGGACCCATTCATCCTCACTCTGGTCACAGTTTGAGATGGTCAGTTTTCCATGGTAACCTGCCTGGCCCATGGGGTACCTGAACACTTGGCCAAACATTATTGGGGCGTCTCTGTTGGTGCTTCTGGATGAGAATAACATTTGAACTGGTAGATGAAGTACAGCAGATTGCCCTTGCTAATGCAGGTGGACCTCATCCCATCCACTGAAGATGTGATCAGAAGAGAAGAGCTGAGTAAGAGGAGATTCCTGGCTTGACTGCTAGGCATTTCTTGCCTTCGAACCTGGACTGAAATATGTGCTCTTTTTGGGTTTTGAGCCTGCTGGCCTTTAAATGGAACTTCCACCATCAGCTCTCCAGGCTTGTCCACTGAAGACCCTGGGACTGCTCAACCTCCACAGTCATGTGAGCCGGTTCCTAGTAAACCTCTTTATAATACACGCTTCTTGCTGGATCTGCTTCCCTGAAGAATCCTACTGAGTAATACATAGTTCTGAATTTTCCTCTGGGACTGCCCTTCCCCCACTCCCATGCCATGCTGTTCAGGGGGATTCACCTAAACTGTTTATGCTGGGGTTGCTGAGCATCAGCAATTTAAGCCTAATTTGCTAGTGCCAATTTTGTCACTACGAGGGAAGAGTCTGCCTGATAGTGAGCAATGAGGAGGCAAGAAGGGCCAGAGATGGAAGAGGCAGCTTCCTAATGAAGGGCTTAAGTTCCTAGATCTAGCTACACCTGAAAATAGTAAAGTCCTAAGTTTTTCTATCCCATAGATCAAAACATTACACATACACATTCTTATTACTTTTGCCTAAGTCATGCTAAATTTGTTTCCTGAATTTACTTTAAATTATTATTTAATCAGTAATCCACTGGGAGTATTGTGTATGTACACATATACACATGAATATGTACATATATGTATACACACTTAAGGCGTTTCCCACTAAAGTTACAACCATTCTTGTCAGAAACATTTGTGCTTTTTTGTGTATGAATATATTTTTGAAAAGTCCTATGGATATGCACCATATATTATATATATATTCCCGTAAGAGGAAATGATGGATCAAAAAACAAGAGACACTGAAAACTGTGATTGCTATCTCCAAAGTAACTTTCAAAAAGGTTGCCTGGTTCACATTCCCAACAATGTATGAAAAATTCTCTTTTCCTTACATCCTTACCAGGATTATACTATCTTTTTTTTGGTACTGGGAATTGAACTCAGGGGCACTTAACCACTGAGCCACATCCACAGTCCCTGCTTTTCTAATACTTTTCTTAGAGACAGGATCTTGCTAAGTTTTTGAAGTTGGCTTTGGATTCATGATCCTCTTGTCTCAGCCATCTGAACCGCTGGGATTACAGGTGCGTGCCACTGTGCCCAGCTATATTATCGTTTTAATTTTGTCCATTCAAAGGGTGAAAATTGGTATCTTGTCTTAGTTTGCATTTCTATGATGATTAAGGAGGTTGAGTGTCTTTTTTGTATATTTAACTGACTTGCGGATTTCTTCTTCTATGAACTGTTTTTCCTACCTTTTGTCTGTTTTTATAGTAAGTTGCTTATCTCTTTCTATTGATTACAAGGAGTTCTTTATAAATGATGGAAAGAAATCCTTTGTTTGCAATTAGCAGTGTGAAATAAATGGAGAGTTGGGAACTGATGGGAACCTGAGCCCAGAGACCTTTGGGGGTGAAGGGAATAAGGCTCTTACCTGGCTTAGATCTCCTGGATTCACAAAGATATTCTCGGCAGTCAGATTTCCATGAACATACTCATTTTCATGGAGAAACTCCAGTGCATCCAGCTGGGAGAAGAAAGGAAGTGTTTCTATGAGTGTCATGATCGTGCAAAGACGCTCTGAATCAGAGCCAGGTGAAGGGAATCCTCAGGCCTGGGGGTCATCCAGCACTGGCTGGGGGGCTAAGCTTGCCTAATTCTGGTTGTAGCATTAAGAAGTCACTGTGATAACACACTCCAATACCTCCCTAATCAGGCTTATAGAACCTTCAGCAATAGAGCTAATGTTTGGCTTTCCATCTACTTCCATCTCATTCTCTTAGTTGACTGCATGCTCAGGAAGGAAGATGGGGTGACTAATGCCCCCCTGCAAAAATAACCCAGCACCCATGTACATAGAGTTCTGCTCACTTCTCCTACTGGGAATAGCTTAAACTTAGTTAAGCAATTTATATCTTTATCTCTAGCTCCAACTTCTGCACTGTTCACCCACCCTGCTGGGCCTCCATGTTGGCAAACTGGGGCAGGGATGGATGTGTCAACAAATCAATAGGCTGAGAAATGAGGATTTGACGAGCCATGCCCCACACCCTGAGCAGCTGTCAGCTACATACCAGCCGGCAGGCCACCTGGAGCACACACTTCTCTGAAATCACATGCTTCGGGTTCTCATCCAGGACTGACTGAAGGCTCCTTCCCAGTCTGGGGAACACCAAGAACCTGGAAGAAAAGTGCATCCCAAGAGGTAGAGACACAGAAGAGTGCAGGCCACCCAATGAAGGCTGGCTGGAGCACCACCAGGCCCCAGAACTAGGTGAGACTAGGGCTTCTGGTTGCTGGGAACCAGCCTGACTTGAAAGGAGGGAAAGGAAGTAACTGACTGACCTGTGGCTCCAAGGTCCCAGCTATGGCAGGCACAGGCAGGGAGAGAAGGAAAGGGTCCTCCAGAGAGTGGCAGTGAGGTGACTCACCTGTACTTGTCCTGGTGAACGCCAAAACCAACACAGGTGGGGATAGCCAGGAGGGGCGCTGAGTGCAGCTTCTTCCACTTGGTCACTAACAGAGGCAGGGGCTCAGTGTTAGCCCGCCTGGTCTCAGGCAAGGAAGTAGAGTGCCTGAGCCCAGACCACAGCTGGAGCCTCCTTGTTGGAGACAACAACTTTGGGGTGAGGGATGGGGGTGGGCATGGGTGACCCATGAACGTCTGTAATACATGTTGCAGGTGACAAGGGTGAACACAGGTGACTTCTGAGAATACATATACACGTCTGGAATACGAGGAAGGGATAAGAACAACAGGGCAACCTCTGCATTCCCATGTCCACCCCATAAGACCAAAAAATGGTCCCCAATGGCCACACTCTCACTGCATTTGCCAGGGTCTCTGTGGGGTGGTACAGATCCAGTGGTGTGCTGACACAAGTTCAACACCTGTATGCCCAGAGAAAGCCAGTCCATGCTAGTAGTTTTGTTCTCACACCATATCTGGGCAGAGTGGCGCATGCCCATAATCCCAGTGGCTCAGGAGGCTGAGGCAAGGAGGACTGCAAATTCAAAGCCAGCCTCAGCAACTTGTTGAGGCCCTAAGCAACTCAGTATGACTCTGTCTCAAAGTGAAAAAAAAAAGTGTGGGGCTATAGCTGGATGGTAAAGCTCCCCTGGGTTAAATCCCTATTACCAACCAACCAAACAAACAAAAAACAACCCCCCCAACCCAAAACAACAACAACAACAAAACACAAAAATAAAACAAAACAAAAAAATTTAAAAAAAGAAAAGAAGTTCCCATCATGGCTAACTTCAAGCCAAGAGGATGTGACTGGGGCTGGGGTTATAGCTCAGTGGTGGAGTGTTTGCTTAGCATGTGTGAGGCAATGAGTTTGTCCCTCAGCACCATATAAAAATAAATAAATAAAAATAAAGGTATTTGGCCATCTACAACTAAAAAACAACATTAAAAAAAAAGAGGATGTGACTGAATATGGACTGAAATGAAGCACAATATCTTTGCAGTATTTTCACTAAACAGATGCAACCGATGTAAGTAACCCCAAGAGTACAAATGGTAGAACAATAGAATAAGTACGAAATGATGAGTTTGCAAGTGTTTTATTAACTTTGTTTTCAGTATAACTCATTTTATTATAAGTTTACATGATTTAATTGTTAACAGTGGCTGCGTGTAACAGCCAGCCTGCAGCGCTCCTAAAAACTTACTTCTTGACTCTTGAGAGCTGATATGAGCCTCGAGGGAGGACAGGAGTCTGGCTGTGGGTACAGATGGGATATTAACCCGCCTCACACCAGCAGAAGGCTAGCTGTGACAGACTGGCACCCCTCACTCTTTCCCTGACCCACTTCCCCATGGAATACCTTGCAGAGGCTTGGCGGCCCGTTGGAAGAAGTTCTGCTCGTTGAACAGGCGCCCATCCTTGGCATCCTGGTGGGACAGGAGGGCAGAGGATGTCACACTGAACTCCCTTAGACAAGGGCCCCAAGTCACCACTGATACTTCAGGGTAATGCCAGCAATGACCACATTTATCTAAAGTTCTTGCAGTTTATTAAGAAATGATCACATTTATCAAGAACCCAATTCTCCAGGGTGTTGCATGTGAGCACAAATCAGAGAATGAGCAATCACTGAATGCTCAAGTTTCTTTCACTCTTTTACGTTAGGATCCACAAACTTTTCCTAGTCATGTGGCCTTCAGCTAACAACTACATTCCCCAGACTCCTCTGCAAGGAGGAATGACCATATGACCAAGTTCTGGCCAATGAGTTTATGAGCAAAAGAAATGTGGGCAATTTGTAGGTTATATCCTTAAAAGGCTCTATATCCTGTGAAGGCTCTCCTGCCCCAGACTTTTAAGTAAAAAAGTAATCAAATATTATTTATTTTGCTTAACCCATTATTGATATTGGGTTCTTTTTTTTTTTTTTTTTTTTGGTATGGGAGATTGAACCCAGGGGCATTTAACCTCTGAGCCACATCCCCACCCCTTTTCAATATTTTATTTAAAGACAGGTCTTGCTAAGTTGCTTAGGGCCTTACTATGTTGGTGAATTGCAATCCTCTTGCCTCAGTCTCCAGAGCTACTGGGATTACAGGTGTGTGCCATGCCTGGCTGGGTCTTTTTTAAAATATCAGTGTAACCAAATATTTTAATTAAACAACTAGTGCAGTTGAGTTCTTAAGAGCACAGGGTCAAATTCAGCTAGGTTCAAACACAACCATTCTCCCCACCCCTATCTCCCCCTCCCCACTTCTTTCTTTCTCCAAAGCCTCCCAGTATCCTAAGCATTGTCATGAGCACTGGGGATACAGCAGTGAACCTAGTGACTTGCATGCTGGCTGTCTCTGGTTCAGTGACTGAGTCTCCATTTCCTCATCAGTTAAATGGGAACACAACAGCCACCCTACAAGGTTATTGAAACAATTCAAGGACATAGTGTTTGTGAAACTCAACCCAGGATCTGTCACGTATGGGCTCTTAGTAACTAGGTGCTGGGCTGGGGACATAACTGTGGAAGGCAGTTTGCCTAGCACGTGTGAAGCCTTGAGTCCAATTCCCAGTACTGAAAATCATAAACAAAACCAACAAAACTAGTTGCACTGAACCACACAGGGCCTGGTTCCCTGTCCCCATCCACCCTCCTCTTGTCTTGTGTCTTTTCTTCTCGGCTTCCTAGCACCCTCCCCACACTGTGGGCGCATGCAGTAAGCACTTGGTAAGTCAGAGCTGATGTTAGCACAGCTGCTTAGGCCTTCTTTTTTTTTTTAGGCCTTCTTAATCTCATGTGATCTACCCCTCCCCAGGGCCCCCTTCCCTGCTAGGGAGCTCTTTGAAGGCAGGAATTAGATCCAACCCAGCTCTTCAGATGTCCCCTGTGCCAGTTTGCAGGAAGGGCTTGTTGAATGAAGGAACACTACTGGACATGAAGCACCCACCCTTCCAAACACATCAGAGCAGACTGCCTTTCCCAAGGCACAGGAAGGCTCTGGGTGTGACCAGGCTCTGTGCTTCCTCTCCTGAGCATGTCCCTTTCCTTGATGTGACTGTGATGTTGCTGTCTTTCCCCCACAGCTAGACCTGAGCCACACACAGCCCAGCACCACACACTTCTGGGCCGAAGGAAAGCCTGATCGGATGGGACAGACAGACGCATCAGGAGCAGATATGCTTGTGCCACACTTGTGTAGGGTGGTGATGACAGTAGCTATAATGACAGGAATAGGTCACTGTGTGCTAGGTGCCATCTGAATGGTGCAGAAAACAGTTAAATGGGGACTCTGTGTTAATCCCATAAGACTTGGGGCAAGTTGAGTCAATTCAACAAAGTGGTGCTTGTGAAATTCTGGGGCCAGGCACATAACCAGCTCTCAAGAGCACATGCGACCTGTCATCAGTGAGTCAAGCCCCAGAGCCATGCTCCAAACCATCAATACAGCCTGTGTCTAGGGCTGAAAGGGGACACTCAACCCAGCTGTCCTTGGTTTTCTGGGTACAAGTTCAGCGAAGGAAATACAAGTTGCCATGATGCCAGCTACTCAGGGTTGAGGAGGAGGCTGAGCACCATGGCGATGCCCTCTTAATAAGCACCTGCACTGTGCTGAAGGCCACTCTCACCCACGTGACTGGTGGCTGCTCTCGCTTTCTCCCTTTACTCCTTCCTTTGGGCTACCCCTGAACACATGCTTCTTGTCTGCTGAGCCTTCTGTTAATAAGCACACACTGTGGATGATTTCACTGATCCTCAGCGCAGGGACCCCATCTGATGGGTTCTTTGCTGGACTCTGACACCCAGAACAATGCTACACAATAAATGTGTGCCAGATATGAGGCTGGCAGTAGTGGGCAGGTAGGCCACAAGATGTAAGTGTTATTGATACTGATAAGGGGATGTGCTTGCCTGGGTTACAAGGCCAGAAAACGTCATATGCAGGGCATGCCTGAACACGGGTCTCCTAGAAGCCTGAGATGAGGAACCGGGAGCCTGCCTGTCCAGGGTCCTGCCACTATTGACAGGTCAGGGGCACCCTGGCTCCAGCTGAACTCTCCTGCTCACAGACAGATTCAGAGGTCTCAGGAGTTGATGGTGCATCTGCAAAATCCCGAGCCCTCCCCTCTGAGCTGCTCCCCCATCAGAGGCCACTCACCAGTTTGAGTGAGAATCTGTTTTTACAGGGCTTTGATCCACAGGCAAGGGCAGAGGTAGGTTCAGCTGTGAAGAAACAGAAACAATGAGCAAGGTCCAAACCTGAGGAAAAAGTCAAGGCCATGATCCCCAACCTTCCCAGCCATAGGAAGCAGTCCTAGTTCTTGGGTTCCCACAGGCAAGTGCATCCTTGCACTCCTCACCTGCTCCTTCCTATTGTCAAACAGCTCCTTTCCTGCTTCCTCTTTCTATCTGTGAATGTCCAGCTGTGCAGGAAAGGGTTAACACTACAGGTCTGAGACCTTCCAAGGTCTGAAAACTGAATTTCAGGAGGGTGCCTAGCATTCCTTAACTGATAAGAGGGGCTCACTTGGCCTAAATCATTTGTGCATCAGTATGGTTTAGGCTGAGCACCTGCTGTCCTTCTGGGAGTCTGGGATTTGGGTATGAGTTAGGCAAAGGCCACCTGACTAGTCCCCACAACCACCCTGAGCCCTGAGTCTCTGACAGGCTTCCTTAATGGACAACAATTTCTATGTACTGTTCCAGCTTATGGCTGAGAGAATTCAGTGTATCTTCTGCAGTAGCTCCATCCTAGGCCACATCTTGGGTCAAGCCATATCCAATGACTGATCAAGGGACATAAAAGCCTAGCCATTTTGCTAACATGGAACATGCTGGAACACCTGTTTTGCACTGGAGCCCATTAATTCATTAATCCATGAATGGCGGGACACACAGCCCATACCAGAGAGCAGAGTCCTCCTGTGACCTGATCACCTCTTAAGGTTACCACCTCGTTCGACCTCTTAACTACCTCACAATGGGGATTAAATTTCAATATGAATTTTGGCAGGGACATTCAAACCATAGCAGAGTGACTGCTAAAAGGCATTGGATTTCCCTCCCTCCCTCCCTTTTTTGTGATACTGGGGATTGAGCCCAGCCTCACACATGCTAGGCAAGCACTCTACCACTAGGCTATATCTGAGGCCTTAAAATTTCTGTTTTTTCTCACTTGAGACAGGGTCTTGACAAGTTGCCCAGGCTGGGCTGTAACCTGCAATCCTTCTGCCTCAGCCTCCTGAGTAGCTGGGCTGAGGGGTGTGCACCACCATGCCCAGCTGGTACTGGATTTCTTTCTGGGGTGAGGGAAACGTCCTGGAATTAGAAGGTGGACGTGGCTGTATGACATTGTAAATGTACTAAAAGCTACTAAATTTTGTACTTTATGTTACATGAATTGTATCTTAATTAAAAAATTTCAGGGCTGGGGTTATGGCTCAATGGTAGAGCACTTGCCTACCATGTGTGAGGTGCTGGGTTTGATTCTCAGCACCACATATAAATAAATAAAATAAAGGTCCATCGACAACTAGAAAAAATATTTAAAAAAAAACTACGAACAAAAAGGGCATATAAAGTGCTGAAACAGAGCCTTGTGTACACAGTCAATGAATGAATGTTAGGTATCATCCACACCAACAATACTGCCACATTTACTTTCTTCATTGTCACAGAGTCTGACTCCATTGTTTGAAGTTTGACAACAAACAGCTTTTAAGCCCCACCCCTTCTGGCCAACAACTGGGAAAGCTGCTAAGAAAGCCTGGGTGCTCCCTCTTTGGAGCTGGCAGAAGATTCAAACTTTGCCAGGCACTGGCTTCGTATGAAGCCTAACCCCAGCCCCACCCCTAGCTGCCTCTTTCCCTTACTCTCCCAAGGTATGAACTCCTCTTCACCAGACCCCAACTAAGTAAGCAATAAACCTATCTTCTTGGTGTGGATGACATCACCAATCTCAACATCCTACCCAAGTTCTGGGTGGGGACACAACTGTCTCTGCAGGCTGAGCATGACAGTGACCTTTTCATGTGGTCACTGGGCCTGCACTCCTAATGTCAGCAGTCAGAATCACGGGGCAGCACACTTTTCACACAGGCAGATGCTCTCGACTGGCTGCAGGCCTTGCCACTCTGTCCCCTTACTCACAGACTGCTGCATTCACTCAAGTGGGAAACTTTTCAGTCCTGAGTCTAAAACAAAGTTGCCTGGACACAGGTCTACAGCCAGAGTCATGGCTCCATCCCCATTCTCCAAAGGGGATCGCCCTCTCTGGTCTGTCCTGGCGTTGAAGTGGCCCAGTGTGGCCAAGGCCCTGGTTGACTGGACAGAGTACCTTCATAGAGAATGCCCTGGTCATTCCTCGTCTGGAGGGTCCCCAGCTTCCAGTGCTGCCCATTCTTGTCCGTCAGCTCTGTCCCCGTGGGCAAAGCCTCAAGTGAGGTGGTCACCCGGCTTCGCCTCAGGGTCTGAGGGCTTTGCCTGGTAGACTGTGGGCTGCTTTTGGGGGTCGGGGGTCTTCTGCAGGCCCCTGCAAGAGGATGGTCTCGATAAAGCCAAGGCAGTATCAGGAAAGGAAAGTCAATGCGGATGAAACAACACGCATGGCACTGTGTGCCGACCCACTCACTGGGCAAATGCTTTCAGGGACTTCTAGGGGTCAGGTCCTTTGTAACGACACTGGGGGCTTAGACATGAGTCACGCCTGGACTCTTCCCTCAGGAGCTCCCCGTGTGGTGGGGAAGTCGAATCAAGACACAGCCACTTGAGTAGAGTGAGAAGGGGCAGTACTGAGGGATATTAGGGCCAGAGAAGAAAGGCTGACTGCTGAAGGAGTCCAGGGAGGCCTCCTGGAGGAAGGGAGGTTAGAGCTGAGCCTTGTTAGATGAGTAGAAGTTTTCTATGAAGAAGAGGACATTCCAGATGTTCACCCCAAAACATCCTGAAACAGGCTTGGCCCTGTACTGAGTATGAAATGGTTTGCAAGTCCCTGCCCCGAGAAGAGAGTGGGGTGGTGGGACTGACACTGACACAGGGAAAGATAACACCACCTACCCTCCTCCTCCTCCTCCCCACCACCCCTCAAGGCACACGAGGACAAGAGGCTCTGGGTCCTGGAAGGAAGGAGCCAGGAGATGGCTGGGGAGCCAGTGCCGAGGACATAGGCCCGTGGTCTTCAAGCTTCCCTAGTGCTGGCAAGCACCAATGAGTCATGTTTGGTCCCAACCTGTGAAGGACACCCAGCCTGAAAGGGACGTGGAGCCTTGAGTGACACAAACATGCACATGAGGACAGCCTTAGGCACTGGGGGTGCAGGACAGAGGCTGGAAAGGCTCTGAGGGGGCGGTGACAGGAGGCCTCTGCATGAGCCTGCTGTGCTCAGGAGAGGGTTCCCAGGATGGGTCTCTGAGTGTTGGAAATGAGGTGCATTCAAGGGCAGAGGAAGATGACGGCTCTGGGCCAAGTAACAGACTCAGCAAAGACCCGAGGCTGAAAATCCCTCAAAGTGAGTCTTCTGTGCACAGAGCTATGCTGAGCACTGAGGCAGGAACCAGGCCATCTGGACACCAGGCTGAGAGCAACAGCAGGGAGAGACAGAGACAGCTCTGGGTGCTGAGGTAAGGCACCTCCAGGCCAGGTGGTGATGGAATGAGGGGGCACCTGAGGCTGGGGAAGAGGCTGTGCAAGGGGAGATGACGTTCCAGCTGGAGCTATGGCAGCTTTGTCCCAAACACTGTCAGACAACCCATCTTTCCTGTCTAGAATCAGATGAACCCTGACTCTTACCTTTGAGTCTCTCAGGGGAATTCAAGGTATCTTCAGACTCAGTATTGTCACCATCCACGAGGAGGGATGATTTGGGAGGGGTGGCAGTACTTGACCACTTTACTTTCTTGGGAGGAACTTCAGAACTGAAACTCAGTTCTCTCCTTGAGCCTAGAGAAGTGGACAAGTGCACACTGGAGTTACACAGCCCCTAAATAGGACCACAGAACCTTTCCTTTCTCTCTTTTTTTGAAACAGGGTCTTGCAGGGCTGTGGATGCAGCTCAGAGGTCGAGCACTTGCCTAGCATGTACAAGGTCCTAGGTTCAATCCTAGCACTGAAAAGACAGGGGGGAGGGAAAGAGTCAAGGATTGAAATAGGGTCTCATGGTGTTGCCTAGACTGGTTTCAAACTCCTAGGCTCAAATGTTTCTCCTGCCTCAGCCTCCTCAGTAACTGCTACAACTCTTCTCCTTTCAGGTACCATTAACTCGGCCAGCATGATTAGCCCCTGGACCACTGGAAGGCCTCCCAGCTGGTTTCCACACCTCCAATCTGTTTTTCACACACAGCAGTCAGAGAAGTCTTTTCAAAATGCAGATCATACCATATCACTTACTCTGTGGAAACTCTTCCACCGCTCTCCACTACACCACGGTTAAGACTAAACTTCTTACCCAAATCAACACAGAACTGGACCACTTCCTAACACCTCCCTGTCCATCCTGACCATCGCACCTCATGAGAAATCAGGCTGCATGTCTGCCCCCAAACTACACTGTTCTGCGTGCCTCCACTCTGCCTGGCTCCCCACACCCAGTCTCTCCCCATTCCAAGCCCTCCCCTCACTCACTCTTCACCTAGCTAATTCTTCTTTATCCTTAGGTCTTGGGTAAAATTTACTCAACTGGGGAGGCCTTTCATGATCTCCCCCAGAAAATGTCCCCAACTTCTGAGCAACCAAGTCTGTGCCAGACATAGTCCTGGGTGCTGTGCAATGCAAACAGCAGATTACAAAAATCACAATCTAAGCAGGTTACAAAACACTGAAAGTTCCTGTCCTATGGAGCTCACTGACAAGAAGTAATAAAAATATGTAAAATCTTGTGTCTAATCCTGTCACAAGGACAAAAGGAAATGTAAATCAGGAAAGGGGGATAGGAAGATGTGGTCTTATTAGGGGTGTCAGGTATGGTGCCTGTGAGAAGGCAGCAGCTGGGCTGGGGCTGGGACTCAGAGGCAGAGCACTTGCTTTGCATGTGTGAGGCCCTGGGTTTGATCCTCAGCACCACAGAAAACAAAGGCCTGCTGTCTATCTACAACTATGAAAAATTTAAAAAAAAGGAAGAAGAAGGCAGCTGAGTAAAGACCTGAAGGCAACGCGGGACACACAGGCAAAGGAGGGAAGGACCATCCATCCAAGGAACAGCAAGTGTGAGAGTTCAGAGGCCCAGGCCTGAGGAGGGGAAGAAGTGGTTAGGGAACTGACACCATCCAAGCAGTAGCAGGAGGGTAGGAGGTGACGTCTGGGAGGACTGGGGCCCAATCATGTGTGGCCTCACATGGAAGATGGGGAGCAGAGGAGTGGCAGGATCTGGCTGTCTCAACAGGAACCCTCAGTGCCACACGAAGAGGACTGCAACAGGGACAAGAAAAAGAAAGCCCAGAGAAGAAGGCTTCTGCAACAACATAGGTGAGAGGTGAGGGCAGGGTGGGCAGGGTGGGTGTGAGGAAGTGGTGACGCTGCTGTTTGAAAGGGAGCACCCACAGGGTGTGGGTGAAGGGTGGCGTATGAGGGAGGCCTCCTGGGTGGCCCCAGTTTCTGGCCTTGGAAACTGGATAAATGGAGTTACTGTTTGCTGCTTCTAGGGATCAGGTAGACGCGGGTAGCAGTGACATCAGGACCTCAATTCTGGGCATGGTCAGGCTGAGATGCACATGGGACAGCTGACAGATGTCAAGCAGGCAGTCTGCTCTATGAGCTCTGGGGTTCAGGGAAGGAGTGCAGGCTGGAGACAGAAATGCATGAGTTGTCAAAAGACAGACGGAATTTAAACTACAGGGGGGACAAGACCCCAGCGGGCTGCTGAGGGATGAGTATAGAGCTGTCCAGGCCTGAGCCCTGAGCTTCTGCAGGGTCCAGGCAGGGTCAGAAAGGCTGAAAAGGGTCTGTCCATCCTGAAAACTTACACACATCCACATATGTGTCTTACCCCACTGCAGGGACGCTCAAAGTCCTGGTTCTTACCTCGGAAGGACGACTCAAGTGGCTTGGCAGAGGTCTGGGATGCAGCATGCTCCTCAGTAGGCAAAGGTTTTCCACAGTAGGGGCAGAATTTGAAAGCTGCTTCAATATTTCTGCCACAGTGTGGACAGAAGGAGATCATGCTACAAAATAGAAAGGGACAGGGATGAGGAGCTGAAAGAAAAAGCCAATCCACAGCTGACAGGTGGTCATCAGAGTCCTATGGTGAAGGGGAGAGAAGTTGTCACTCTCGGATCCTGCAAGAGGCCACTTCTGAAATCAGTTGTTACCCATTGTGCTGAGGCTTTAGCTACTTGTCCTTCCCTAATGACCCAAGGACAAAGCAGACCAAATACAAGCAAGTGGCAGACTTCCCAGGAGTAGTGGATGCCCTGAGGTCCTGCAGAGTTGGGTCAGAAAACTGCTCTCATCAGAGCGAGCACCTGTGTAGAAGGCACACCCAGGGTCTTCAACCGCATCTGTAATGGTTATTTTAAAAAATAATAAAAAAAATTTTTTTTGAACTAGGGATTGAACCCAGGAGCACTCTACCACTGAACTACATCCCCATCTCAAAATTTTGAAACAGGGCCTGACTAAATTGCTGAGGGTCTTGTTAAACTGCTGAGGCTGGCCTCAAACTTGTGACCCTCCTGCCCCAGCCTCCCAAGTTGCTAGGATTACAGGTGTAGGCCACCAAACCTGGTTTGATGCTTATTTCTTAAACCACACAATGGGGCCAGGGGGGACTGTATCCCCAAATATCCACATGCTCCCCTACATTTCCCAGCCACCCTTACAGCTATGTTAGGCACACATGACTATTTCTGGCCAAAGGGGTGTGGGTGGAAGTCATCTCCTGGCTAAAGCATCTCCTCCATCTATCCTGCCTTAGAGATCATGTATCCCAGGTAACATAGCAACATGACAAAGGACAGATGCCTGGTTCACTCTGGGATCTCGTGATTGATAAAGACAACTATGTATGAAGTCACCAAGATTTCAGGCTTTATTAGTTTCTAGAATAACGAATTCTGACTAATTTAGTGGGACAATGGTTACTCATTACATTATTTGCTATGCTTGGTGTATCACTGAAATGGTTCCTGATACTTTTTGAAAATTAAAAACAAAACCATACACAGGTCTATGACAAACGAGGATATGGCAGGGTTGGAGCAGTTAATAAGTGAAAATCAACTAGAATGACGGTGCAGTGGGCATTTCTTTTTTTATCTTTTTGGTACTAGGGATTGAACCATGGGGCGCTTTACCACTGAGCTACATCCTCAGTCCTTTTAATTTTTATTTTGAAACACTAAGTTGCTTAGGAACTTGCTTAGTTGCTAGGGCTGGCCTCAAACTTGAGTGATCTTCCTGCTTCAGCCTCCCAACTTGCTGGGATTACAGGTGTGCCCCACTGTGCCTGGTGTGCAGTGGGCATTTCAAAAATTTTTTTTCCGGGCTGGGGATGTGGCTCAAGCAGTAGCGCGCTCGCCTGGCATGCGTGCGGCCCGGGTTCGATCCTCAGCACCACATACCAACAAAGATGTTGTGTCCTCCGAGAACTAAAAAATAAATATTAAAATTCTCTCTCTCTTCCTCCCTCTCCCTCTCTCTAAAAAAGTTTAAAAAATTTTTTTTTCCTTCATACATATAAACTTAAAATTCAGAACTCATGTCTCCATAGGATGACTATAACTGAACATCTTTTAAGTAGATAGATAGATGGGGGGGGGGGAGAGGGAGATGAGAGGGAGAGGGGGAGAGAGAGACATTTTATTTGTTCTTGTATTCTAAGATTTAGTGTATGGCAACAATTAAAAGCTGAAATATCAGAGAGGCCCAAAGCCATGGGCCATTTACCCATAGACTAAAAGTTCAAAAACTGTGAGCTAAATAAATCTTATCTTTTTTAAGTTGATTATCTCAGGTATTTCATTATAGCCGACTAACACATCTTACAATGCAAATTTCTAATTAAACCCTTTTCCTTTAGTCATGGTCAAGGTTGGTTTTCTGTTGCAACTGTCAACAGTGGTGTCCTTGAAATCACAGACTTTGGTCCCAGGTGCACTGGATGTGAATTCCAGACTTGCCCAGGCTGAGAAAGTTCCTTAGCCTCTTTTTATCTCTGTCTGCCTAGCAATACAAAATGTCTAGTGCCAGCACCTGTCTGACASAAAGATTGTTGAAGTCTAGTGGATACTTATATCAAGTGCTGAGAACAGGGCCTAGTCACTGAAAAGCTTTTCTCCTTTTTTTTTTTTTTTTCTTTCCAGTGCTGGGTATCAAATCCAGGGACTCATACATGCTAGGCAAGTTCTCTGTCACTGGCCAAACCTCGATCTTGAAAGATTTTAAGCACTATCTTATTATATTCCATTTGTTAACATTTCTATCCTTCCCTTTTCTCTTTCCATACTGTAATTTCAGAGCTTCTTGGGCCTCTGTTTCCTTTAAGTGATGACATACAGAATTATAGATCTTTTATTTTTTTAAGAGAGAGAGAGAGAGAGAGAGAGAGAATTTTTAAATATTTATTTTTCAGTTTTCAGCAGACACAACATCTTTATTTCATTTTTATGTGGTGCTGAGGATTGAACCCAGCGCCCCGTGCATGCCAGATGAGCACGTTACCACTTGAGTCACATCCCCAGCCTCAGAATTACAGATCTTTCTCTTAAAAACCACAGACCATCCATATAGCTAATGAAAGAAATCTCAGGGAAAAAAAAGAGTTTCTCCTTCTCCCAGGCTACAGAAGTGCAGAAATCATACTCTGGTATAAAAGGGTTCTTCTGCTATTTCAAACAAAAGAGCTGTGTAAGACACCTGGTCTGCGAATACCACTGTCAAGTATCCTTTTCCTTTCCAGTAAGGAGGGGTGTAATTCTTTTTTTTTTTTTTGGAGGGGTGTAATTCTGAGTGATCGTCTTAGTGATCGGTTGTTCTGGCAGTAACATTTAAATCACATCTGTCTTCTCAAAGGTGTAAACACTGGGGAGCATCTGTTTAGCCACAGGACTCTCTGCCTTTCCCCTTCTTCCTTTAGGCAAGCCTGAAGGTCAGATGTTGATGCTGGAGCCATGAGATCAAAGCTGGATATAGAGTTGTCCAAACTTTGTATTAGTGAGGAAAAAACTTATGTTTGTGTTAAGCTACTGAGATTTGGAGGTTATTTGTTACTGTGGAAAAGACTAGCCCAGTCTGACTAATAATACACAAAGATACCATTGGATTTCATATGTAAACAAAAGGATGGTTTAGAAATCTATGGTGGTGTTAAGTGGCTTCATGTTAAGTGGATTTTCCCCAGGGGCCAGTGCCCTGGGATAAAAATGGCCCCCCAGGAAGGAACAAGTGCCTAACCAGGTGAGCCCTGCCACACTAACAATAACACTCCTCCTAGGAAGCAAGTCTGCTGGCTGCAACAGAGGTGAGACAGCAGGAGTGGGTTGCTGGTGAACCAGCTTCAAGGGTCACATGCCTGAGGGGATGGTACCTTTATAGGGTCGCAGTCTGGCTCTGGATTCACTGGCTTGGAAATTTCATCTTGATAGTAGCCTAGAAGTGAACAAATGTGGAAACAATGACTTGGACTCGGTTCAATTCACAAATAAGTGAAAGATAATATTTACTGAGCACCGGCCACGTAGCCAGTAAGTGCTAAGTCTATTCATTCATTCATTCATGCAGTAATAACCTATGGAGGTCCTAGTTCTTTCAGCCTTTAGAAAGGAAACAAACACAGCCCCTGACCTCAGCAAGCTCACAGTCTGGTAGGGGAAGACAAGCTAATAAACAAATGAGCAAGTAACTGTTGAACAGGTCGGGAGGAGATAGCACTAAGGAGGACAATAAAGTACCTCAGGAGAAAAAGGGTGCCAAGGGGGTTGGCAGGTCACTGTTTACACGGGGTGGTCAAAAAGGACATCACTGGGAGGGGCAACTGAGCGGAGATCTAAGGGAAGCCACAGAGTGGGTCATGAACATCTGTGGAGGGTCCCTCCAGGCAGAGAACTTTCTGTTACCTGATTTAGTCCACATCACAAGCCAAGAGGTAGGTTCTGAAAATTATTACCCATTCTTTTTCTTTCTTCCTGAGCTGGGGATGGAGCACAGGGCCCTTAAACTCTACCACTGAGTTATGCCCCCAGCCCTCTATAGGAGAGTGTGGCATCTATACTTTCCAAAGACAGCTGTAGCAATATTTCTCTTATTCTGAAGTGTGCTCTTCAGAAAAGGTAACCCTTTCCACTAAGAAGCAGGGCTCTGAACCCTTCCTTTTGGATTTGAGGCCTACTATTGCTCCTACCAATAAAGATGGGCATAATTATGTAATGACATGCCCCCTCCAAGGCCAGGTCATGCACCTGGCTGGCTCACTCAGGATGCTCCTGTGTGGAACTGGGTTTCCATAATACGAGGCAGCCTAAAGTAGCCCATAGACTTCATGGAGGGGTCCAGATGAAGAGGAATTGACCCTCACACAACAGTCAGCATCAGCCACTGGACATGCAAAGAAGCATGTCTTCTGGGTAATTGACATTCCAGCTTTGGAGTCTTCCTGCTGTGGTCCCAGATGTCACGCAGCAGAGACAAGCCAGCCCCACCTGCTTGCTCTGAAACCCTGACCCACAGAACCCATGGCCATGACAAATGGCTGTTTACAGAACTGCATTTTGAGATAATTTGTTCCATAACTGGATAAAAGAATAAGCTGAAGCACAGAGAGGTTTAATTGCTTATTTAACAACAGCTCCCAATTCATGAGTTCAACATATGTAGATTGAAATCTTCACAATCACCTTTCACAGAAGAATAACTTTTCCCTTTAAGATGTGGAAGGAGAGGCTCAGAGAGGGACAGTGATTTGACCAAGGCCATACAGCTCTTCAAGTGGCAGATCCAGAAATATTATTTTAATTTCCCACCAACTTTATAAACCAGGGATACGCATCTCATACTTACAAACTGCTGCTCAAAGACTATGCACCTAGAAAGCGGTAGGGACAGAACTCAAATCTGGACCTATAAAGTTCATGTTCTCAATTGGCACAAATTCATAAAACAAAAACAAAAATTTCACTGGTTCTTGGGCTGCAGGTCAGAACATTCTTTCAGTCTTTAATCTGAAAGCTGATGCTGTGTAGAACTGAGCCAGGAGGAATACTGGATTTTTCAACCACAGACATCTGCCTGTCCCCTACTCTTACACTGTCACCAGCCTCGTCTCAGTCACTTCTACCTTGTGCTATTACAGAACTAGAATTCTACAGAACTAGAATTCCTGCTTCTACCCTCATCCCTACGGTCTATTCTGAAAGCAGCAATCAAATCTTAGACCCTGTCCTTCCTCTGCTCAACACCTTCCAGTGGCTTCCATTTCAGACAGTAAAAGTCAAAATTCTTAGCCCATAAGGCCCTACGTGATCTCCCAAGTCCCACTCACACTCTGACCTCTCCCATACACCCTTGCTCACTCTAAGCCAGCCATACCACTGGCCTCCTTGCTTTTCCCCAAAACATGACAAGATCTTTCTGCCCCAAGACCTTTGCGTTTGTTCTCACATCTTCCTAGAATGTTTTCTGCCCATGTCATGCTCATGCCGTCCCTTTCTCCAGTTCTCCCTTCATATGTCACCTTTCTGGACAGATCTTTTTTTGATACTACTCATAGTACACACTATCCTCCTCCCACCATTTCATTTTTCTTCGTAGTGCTTGTCACCACCTGACATACTCTAACTTCCTTATTGCTGACTCCTCTGAATAGGCTGGTAAGCTTCAAGATGGAAGGTTTTGTTTGCTTTGCTCACCACAGTACACCCAGAGCCCAGAACAGGCTGAAACTCGAGGCTCCAATCCTCAGGCCAGCCATCCATTTATTTTACTTATTCAATAAAATTTTATTAACATCTACTATGCGTCAACTACTATGTTCCTCCTAGATTCCAAGACGCAACACAGCAAGAGGGCTAAAGGCTAGACTCCATCCTAAGCGCGGAGGGACAACAGCCTAGGTGACAGTGACATGTCGCCCGCCCCCTTCTCAGAAAACCTGGGCTGACTCAGCTGCCAAGGCAGAGCATCTGTCAACCCCAGAGGCTTAACCTTAGCCACGCCCACCACAGCGTCCAAGGGGGCTGGGGTCCTAGCGCGCGGAGACGTTCCGCAGCCTCTCTAGTCCAGGCCCCAGGGCGAGGGGGCTCCGCTTCCCAAGAAGGGAAGTGCTGAAGTCACAGGCTCCACAGCCGAGCTGACTCCGAAGGAAGCCAGGAACTTCCCTCACCTCTGTACTTGAGAACAGGAGTGGGCGCCAGAGTTTCTGCGGTCAGAGCCGCAGGAAGTGGGACTCACCTTCTCTTTGCCCCAAGGAAACTTCCTCTGGCGCCGGAGACGCTGCGCACGCATCCTCTTCCCGGAGGCAGGGCTCCCGAGCAAGCGCAGCGACCTCCAAACTGCCCCCGGGCTGTCTACCTGGGAACTCCATTTCCCAGGTGCCTTCGCGGCAGATCAGCCGTCTAACCCGGCAGGGGAGAGACTCCCTCGTCGCTTACTTCCACCCTCTTCGGAACTCCACTTCATCCCACTGCGCATGTCCCACTGCGCATGAAGCCAATCGAGATAAACTACGGGGCATCTCCCCACCAATCAAAGGTTACCTCTTTAACTCCGCGCCTCTTCTTAGTAACGCCAACCGCTTCCTCTGCGTCTTTCCATGGCAACCTCGGGTTGTTTCCTTTATAAGTAGAAATTTCCGGAAAGGCAGAAGAAGGTTAAGTCGATCCTTTAACAGGGTCTACAAAACCGTGGTTTCACCTAGTCCAGATCGGAATCTACTCTATTTCCCAGGGTGCTCTACGGGGGCCTCCAAGGTCAAAGAGGCGTGTGGGGCGGGGAAGCCAAGCGCGGGCGCGCGCACAGCCCTCTGGGAAATAGAGTCCTGGCGCTTGGCGCGGAGGAGTCTGGGCAGAATAGCTGGGAAGTGTCGCTGGGTTCCGGAAGTTCCCGTGAAGAGGCGCGTGTGAGGGGAGTTAGGTTTATTTCTCCCACCGAGCTGGGGAAAGTCTGTTAGCCCGGCGGACTGCAATCTCGAGGTACGCAAGTGTCGTGTCCGGGGTCGCTGAGAACCCTGGAGACTCGTGGGCTCGGTTCTTCCCGAGGGGCGAGGCTATACTATTAGCGCAACTTAGGCAAAAATCTTGTCGTCGTGGGCGGTGGAGGTCTGGATGGAATCTTGAACCCTTAAGTCAGATTCTTCCTAAAGTGAGACGAGTGATTCTATTTAGTTGAGGAGACCGGGCGAAAGGCGGCAGGTCTGGGCAGGATCTTGAGGAAGAAAGGGAGTTCTTGAGGATGTCCAAGTATTGAACGTTGACTGGAGCGCATTCTGTGCCCAGGCGCGGTGCAGTCACAGCAGCACTAAGACATAGCGCAGGTCCTCGCTGTCATCGGATGCCTTTGGCACCAGGATCATCTCGGGAATCAGGGTTTTTCTGATTTTAGAAAGACAGTATTTCACAACTAGGCAACATACTGGCGGAATCTGGGACAGTGATTGTGTCATCAAAGTTTTCTGCGTGGTGTCGGGAAAGGTGTATACGGACTTCCACTGACTGGAAAGAAGATTATATGTAGTCGGTGGCAATCCAGGTTGGGATTTCCTGTCAATTTATGAATGAATTTCAGGTTTTCAGGGACTTTAGGTTTTGGAATTGTAGAGAAGGGACTGTGAATCTGTTTCAGTAGCCCCATTTGGAACATGTGGCAACTGAAGTTCAGGGAGAGTAAATGATCTCACCATAGACCCTCATTAAGAAGGTGGCAAGACTCCCAGACTCCTGGGTGGGTACCTTGGGCTTCATTCAGAGGCCCCACTCCCCATTTCTTCCCTTTCAGGTCTAAGAGTATATGAAATGGGAACAGAACTGTGATTTGGAAATTATCTCAAACTTGGATGTTGGTAAGAGTGCGGTAGTTAAGGTAAGGGAGGGATCCTGCTGCTGAGAGGCCTGTGGGGTGCAGGGAGCACTTCCATCTAAAGGGGGAGCTTTAAATGGGCTCCAGTGAACTCGATTTGTGGGGATGCAGACCCAGTGATGCCAAATTCTAGGGTGTTTCAGAAGCTGAAAATCTCATTTTTAGGTGAAATTTACCAGTTTTCAAGTTTGGTTAAACTATGTTGTTTAAGGAATAATGACAATGAAAACGTCTGTGTGTTTGGTACAGATGCAATTTAATTTAATTTATTTATTTTTGGTGGTGCTGGGGATTGAACCCAGGACCTTGTATGGGAGGCAAACACTCTACCAACTGAGCTATATCCCCAGCCAGAGATGCAAATTTTTTTTCAACTATTTTCTACCTGAGGTTGATTGGATCGAAGGACACAGAACACACAGATATGGAGAGTTGACTGTCATTTCTGTTACTGTGGGTCGTGGTTTAAAAAAAAGTTTCAGAAATATTGCTGTTGTAGAATAGCAACAGCTTTGGAGGCCAGCTCACCTGGCTCAAATCTTAGATATGATAATCAAGAAATCCCAGAAGTATGGTCCCATTGATTCAGTTAGAGACATTTGTTATGTCAACAATTATTTTAAAAGCCCCTGCTATACAACAGGCACTGTGCTGGTGCTAAGACACAGCCGAGAGCAAAATCAAAGGTCCCAACAAAGTATAGACTCTCATTGCCGGATCTCACAAACACCTATAAAGTAAGTACTAAGCATGGTTATGAAGTTGTTTTACAAGTTCTGAAGTGCAATGGAAATGTGGGGCTGGAGTAGTTTAATTAAATGTAATTGTTGTTGATTCCTAAAGGGAGAATCACTTCAGAAGTCCCGCCCACTTCTGAACATTTGGGGGATCATCCAGCATGGACAGGGAGTCAACTGTAGAAGGAAGGGAGAGTTTCTTACAGCTCCCTTCCTGCAGCTCTGCCAGCTGGGAACATGGAAGGGAAGGAGGAGGAGCTTGAAAGAGGTTACTGGGACATGGCGGCTATGGCTGAGGTAAGTTGAGGGTTCCTTTCTTAATTGATTACCCTCAGAAGAAATCCGGCCTTCCTTTGTACCCTGCTTGCTGTTCCATGGTGGCTCCCCAGTTGTCTTTTTATGGTAACGTTTCATACCGTTGCTGTCCTGCTATGGAATCCTTGTTGCATTGTTGCTTACAGGTTAAAATGCCCACTCCTGCATGACCTGGTTTCTGCCTACCTCTCCAGCATCTTCTGTCATTTTGCCAGATAACCAGTACTCCATTTCTGATCTGATGGTAAAATGTTACACTGTACTTTCCAATCTCTCTGCCTTTGCCTGGGCTATGCCCTCTGCTAGAATATCCTGCTGTTCTTGTTTGTGGTAACATGTTATGCAGCCCTCAAGACCCAGCTCATCTCCCCATCTTTCCCAAGGCAGAGTCAGCTTGTCCTTATTCTGGCGTCCCTTCCATGCTCTGATGACTCCTCTGTAGCGTAAATCCACCTGTCTCTGCCCTTATTGTCAGCCCCACAAGAGTACATGCTTCTCGGGAGAGGAGATGATTGGGATGGGATTCATCTCTGGATTGCCAGGGCCTAGCACAGGCCAAGCACACAGCAGGCTTTTGAGGTGTTTGTTGCGTGAATGAATGCTAAAAACTTCTCTACCTGGTTAATATCTGCTTGTCTTTAATGGTTCAGTTTGAATGTCCTCTACTTCAGGAAGCTTGGCTTTATCCCATGGTAACTTTCCCCCTCCCTTCCAAGGTTTATTAGCCCTGATACCTCCCTTTGTCACAGCCCTGCCACCTCAGGCTTATCATCTAGCATCCCTGAGTCTGCATCAGACAGTGAACTCATCAAGGCCAAGGCCCAGGTCCTTGTCCTGACACCTGACCATGTCCCCAGCATCACAGTGGGATCTGGCACACAGCAGAAATGTTTGTTGAATGCATGCTCTGACCTTTTAACTTTCCCTGTATAAAGCCCTCTGTGGCTCCCTGAGCCCCAGGGTTCAAGTCCCTGCTTCTGTCATCTACACCTTCCAATGTTGTTCCAAGGATCCCTATCCAACACATTCTCGGAGTCTGTTTAAGTCAGCATTTTCACTGCCATGATCAAAAACCTAAGAAGAAAATTAGAGGAGGGAAAGTTTATTTTGGAATTCACAGTTTCAGAGATCTCAGTCCGTAGATGGCCAAATGCATTGCTCTGGGCCCCAAGGAGAGGCAGGACATCATGGCAGAAGAGTGTGGTGTAGGAATGTGACTCAGAAGCAGAGGGAGAGTGCTCCCTTCACCACAGACAAAATGTATATCCTAAAGGCATGCCCTCAGTGACCCACCTCCTCTAGCCACACCCTACCTTCCTACAACTATTAATCACTATCAGTGAATCGATGCACTAATTAGGTTTAGGCTCTCCTAAGACACTGTCTCACCTCTAAACTTTCTTGCATTGTCTCTCATGAGAGTTTGAGGGATACATAATATCGAAACCATAAGAGTCTGAGGATCAAAAGCTCATTAAGGCCCTCTGCGATCTGGTTCTTGCTGCAAAACCTTTTTGACTCATTGCTCTCAACAGTGGATAGACAGTAACAATTTGAACTACAAGTACAAGAAACTCCAATTCAAACTGGCTTAAACTTTCAGGAGACTGTTTATATGGATCGCATAACCGAAAGTCCAAAGGTCGGGGTGACTCCATCTGCCTCAGTAATCAGGACTGTTTATTGTCCCTGTTTTCTCCACCCTGCTTAGTACTGGCTCTGTCCTTGGTGACTCCTTCCCTTCAGACTCAAGCAGCCGCCAGGACTGTGTGCTTCCTTGTGTTATTCATCAGGTGTTGGTTGTGTGTCTGCTGTGCGCGGGAGCCTTGTTCTAGGTGATATGGTCCCCATCCTTGTGATATGGTCCTCAACTGATATGGTCCCCATCCTTATGAAGCTCACACGAGTGGGAGTGTGGAGGACAGTGGATTAGTTTGCGAGGGCTGCTGTTAACAAAGTACCACAAGTTGGGTGTTTTGAATAACAGACGTGTATTGTCTTAGAAGTTCTTATGAAGCTCACACGAGTGGGAGTGTGGAGGACAGTGGATTAGTTTGCGAGGGCTGCTGTTAACAAAGTACCACAAGTTGGGTGTTTTGAATAACAGACGTGTATTGTCTTAGAAGTTCTTATGAAGCTCACACGAGTGGGAGTGTGGAGGACAGTGGATTAGTTTGCGAGGGCTGCTGTTAACAAAGTACCACAAGTTGGGTGTTTTGAATAACAGACGTGTATTGTCTTAGAAGTTCTGGAAGTTGGGAGTTAGAGATGAAGGTTTTGGCAGGGGTGGTTCCTTCAAGGACTGTGAGGAGAGCGTTCCTGCCTGTGCCAGCTGTGGTGGTGTGCAGGCCACTTGGCCTTCCTTGGCTTGTAGAAGCATCACCCAGATCCTGCCTTCACCTTTGCACACCATTCTCCTCTACCTTTGTATAGTCTCCTCCCTCTATATGTCTGTCTCTGTGTCCTCGTTTTCTATTTTTAGGATACTGGTTGTGTTGAATTAGGGCCCATTCTAATGACCACAAATCAGTCACCTGTGTAAAGAATCTATTTTCAAATAAGGTTTTTTCCTGAGGTATGGGGGTTAGGGTTTCAACCTGTCTTTTTGGAGGGTCACAATTCAACCCATGACAGTAAATTCTGTAAGTAAATCATGTAGTATGCAGGTGGCGTTAAGAATTGTGGAAAAGATAATGTGGGGAGGGAATAAGAAGTCCAGGTTAGGGGCTGGGGCTGGGGCTCAGCAGTAGAGCGCTTGCCTAGCATCTGCGAGGCCCTGGTTTTGATCCTCAGCA